ACATAGTTGGTGAACAACGTCCGAATAATGATTACATAGTTAATAATAATCTAACTATCTTTAGGTGCATCAGCAATGAGGGCCTCATTGTGATCAAGCCGTACGTAAGCAGGTTCGTCACCCTCTTAAAGTATAGGTAGGAGTACGTTCGCCCTGAATGGACGCATTTCCTGATAGCCTCTATAGTCTTCTTCGTCCGTCACTCCATCGACACCGACAATCTTCCTTTTCCCTATTAGGACTACTTTTAGCCTTTCTTTTGTCTTGTTATCCCTTGCATAGAAGACTTGCATAACATCTCTTGCAAGGGCGAAGGGGTCGTCTCTGTATGCGGTCTTAGTGAGATCAACGGTAGTGAACCCTTCACTATCAGTGTTGATTTCCTCGAGCTAGACCCACTGGCAGCGAAAAAGAGCTGCCTTCAATGGACTGTAGGCTAGCTCCCATATCTCCTCTATGAAACCATAGTATGTCACCTACACGTTGCCGTTTTTGTCGTGAGCATCAAAATGACCACCACAATTTTGGTATGTGCTGTTTCCATCTTGCTTTTTTGTGTAAAATATGAATCCATTGATCTCATACCCTTGGTACTTAAGATATGTACTCGAAGGTCCCTTGGCTAAGGCATCCAGTTGATTACCCAACTTTATTCCAAGCAAGCGGCATTGCAACCAGTTGACAAATTCCTCCTTATATTTTTTATCCAGCCAAGCCTGTGACCTGCTCGGATACAGAGTTTGCAGCAATTGCCTGTGCTCGTCAATGTATGGCATCACATCCTCGGCTTGCTGGAGAACAGCAAACTATGCCTGTCTAAAAGAAACAGGGTCGTCTACTGTAATAGATTTCTCCCCGATCCTTCCTTTGCCACGTAGTCTTCCCTCGTGACAAGATTATGGAACTTCGACCTTTTGATGTCCAGATAATATGTGTAGAATGCAATGGCCTCCTCCATTGACCATCCTTCAACCATGCCCCCTTCTGGCCTGAATCTATTCCTAACATACCTTCTAAAAACTTTCATCAATCTTTTGAAAAGGAACATCTGATGCAGGTACATTAGGCCAAGGGCTCTAATTTGGTCAACAAGATGAATGAGCAGATGCAATGAGATATCAAAGTAAGTCAGCAGGAAATGCATCTCAAGCCTAACGAGAGTTTCGACTATGTCCCGCTGTAGCTGCTCTAGCATGGACACATCAATGATCTTTTTGAGATCGTGTTGAAGAACGAACAAAGTTTTATGAATGGGGCACAGACCTTTGGGGGAGGATACTACGCAGGGCAACAGGGAGCAGCTGAGTCATAATGACATGACAGTCATGGGCCTTCATAGGGCCATAGTTGAACTTGAGTTCTCTCATGTTCACTAGCCTCTTCGGGTTCACACAGTAGCCCATTGGGACTTTGAGTTCATTGAAGAAAGAAATAAGCGCACGCTTTTCTTTCTTCTTCAATGTCCATGATGCAACCGAAAGTTCAAACTAGCCATTCTCTAGCTCCATGGGATGCAGCTCCTTCCTGATTCTCAAGTGTTGCATGTCCAGGCGTGTGGCTAGTGAATCCTTCAATATCCCACCGGTGTCCATCAAGGTATTAAGAGTGTTAGCGCACACGTTTTTAGTGATGTGCATGGGATCAAGATAGTGGCGTACCCTCAGAAATGGCCAGTAAGGTAGTTTCTAGAAAAACCGATTGTTTCTTCCAAATGCTCCCATCAGGCGCTGCTACTGCATTGTCCCCCTTCCCAAGGACAACCTCTAGTTTGTTGAGTTCTCGAAGTATCGCAGGCCCATCTCGATATTTTGGAGCTAAGCATTTCTTAATAGTACCGTTGAAATCTTTTCTGTTCCTGCGGTAAGGGTGATCCTTAGGTAGGAACCTATGGTGTCCCATATAAATTATCTTTGAGTTATTTGGCAGATTTACCGCATCGGTGTCGTCCAAGCACTCGACATATCCAGTATAGCCTTTTGTCTTCTCTCCGGACAACGAACCTCGACCTGGCAGGTCAGTGATTGTAGCGATAAGTACTCCCTTGATCGTGACGTGTTCCTTTTTGTACTCGTTCCAAACATCCGGTACACCCTTTTCAAACATCTCCACTAGTTCATCGATCACTGGTTCCAGAAACACATCGATGTCATTCCTAAGTTGTCTTGACCCTTGGATCAGTAGTGGCATCTGGATGTACGACCGCTTCATACAGACCCAAGGTGGAAGGTTGTATATACAGAGCATCACTGGCCAGGTGCTATGATTGCTTCTAACCTGGTCGAAAGGATCCAACCCATCTGTGCTCAAAGCAAACCAAAGGTGTCTTATCTCTCCACCAATGTCCTTATAGAACATAGTATTGACAGTCCTCCAGTCATGCCCATCGACGGGGTGCCTCATCATTGTATCTTTCTTACGCTCTTCGCCATGCCAGCGCAACAGCTTGGCTGACTTTGCACATGGAAATAGCCTATGCACCCGGGGAGCTATAGGGAAATACCAAATGACCTTTACGGGACCTCCTCTGGTCTTGGTACCCTCATCTAACGGCCCTTCCTTGTACCGTGGAGCTTAACACTTGGGGCACTTGTCTAGGTCTTTGTATTTTTCTCCACGGTACAATATGCAATCATTGTAACACGCGTGGATTTTTTTAACCTCGAGGCCGATGGGACAGATCATTTGCTTGGCCAAGTATGTCTTTTCTGGCAACATGTTTTTTTCTGGGAGCATTTTTCTTATTATACCTAACAACTGAACGGAGCCTTTATCGCTCAATCCGTTTGTCTATTTGAACTCTAACAGCATGATGTCGGCTTCTAGTTTGCTCATTGAACAATTCTTATACAATGGTGGTTTGCCATCTTGTCTCATTTTCTCTAGCTTTCTCAGCTGCATTTGATCTCTACATTACATAGCAGCTGAGAAATGCCATCATTATCCTCGATGTCGTCAGCTAGCATGTTCCTAAACACATTATTAACTGTGGCCATAGGTTCCGTGTTGACACCGGGTTCCTCGTCAGCATCGTGGATGGCTACGTCAGGCATGTCCACATCATCATCGTTTTCCTGCAGAACATTCACACCAACCTCACCATGCGTAGTCCATATCATATAGTTTGGCATGAACCCCCTGGTAATCAAGTGCGATCGTATAGACTCAATTTGATGAAAGTTTCTTTGATTCTTGCAATCTTTGCATGGGCAGAAGACATGGTTCCCATTCCCAGCATGGGCTTTGGCATCAGTGATAAACTGGCTGACGCCATGCATGTACCGCTTGTCCGTTCGGGACAGATGCATCCACTCTCGATCCATCTCTGCACAAAAAAATACTGAGACAGTAATTACAAAGAATTAATAAGAAATCGAGCTTCATGAACAACAATTGTAGCTCAAAAGTGCCATTTTTTGAAAACATTATTGTACACTAATTATTGGAAAATTGAAATTGGTAGTCCCGCCCCTATAAATTAAAAATCGTAGTAAAAAACAATTATTGCACAATAATAAAGAACAACTATTCTACTCTACTTCTAAGAACTAATTATAGCATCACATACTAACAATGATGATCTTGACCACCATGAAATAATTAGCTAGGAATTTAAATGTGTTCATAGATACCAACCTTTTGGATGATGGATTCACCATAATTTGAGCCTTGCACAAATGTCCAATTGAAAAAGTGCTCTCTAGAATAAAGAAAGAATTAGAATGAGAATCAAGTAATGTAGCCATCAAAACAAAGCTAATTAAGCAATAGAATGAAATGAGTGGATGTTTGTTACTAACCTTAAAGCAAAAAGATCAAGCCATTCTTCAAAATCCAAGCGCTTGCTTCATGGTGAAGAGTAGCCGCAACAATAGAGGGAAGGGCCCAAACACGCGCCTCTGTTCTTAGGATGGAAGAGAGGAGGAAGAAGAGGACGGCTGCAGCCTTTTTGTGCTGTAGGCTTATCACCGTCGGTTCTTGGCTAGAACCGACAGTGATAGATCCCAATCACTGTCGGCTCTTTGCTTGAACCGGCAGTGATAAGTGGCCACCAAAACACTGTCGGCTCAAGCCACAAACCGGCAGTGATATGGTCATTCACTACCGGTTTTAGTCTAGACCTAATCATTTTCTCATTTTCAAGCTCATAACCGACAGTGAAGATACATCACTGCCGGTTTTCATAAATCCGGCAGTGACGAGGCCGACAGTGATGTCCAAATCTGTAGTGGTGTTACCTGTGCACTCTATATGAACTAAAACCTCGAGATTGACATGACACTTCACTGTCAAGTATGAAAAGACATGTGTCACGTACCGCTGAAAGAATAATAAATGCAAGCACCTTGTGATATTTTCTGCCAAATATCTCAATTAGATCGCTTATGAATAATAATAATAACAACAACGATCAATGGATGCAACATACATATCTGTCAGAACGTGACCAATCAAATCATATATGGCTGCAGCGATTCAATAAAAATAAGCGAAAGGGGAGCACTTTATATTAGTATATTACGACGCCTACAGAATTATGGAGTGGATCATGCATGTCTCAGACCCATGACGCATCATTATGAAGGGACGCAGCTAGAGGCATGAGTGTGGCTGCTTTTGCGATGGCAGCAAGTGCAGCTGCATGTTAAACTAGTTACCGGGCTGCATGCTGCCCCCCGATTGATCATGGGTGCTTTACAGCCATTATCGCACAATTACATAAGACCCTGCATATTGTATTACCCTCTCTGGATGGGCCATGCCGGTTGCCGGATAAACAATGCTGCAAATGATGCAAGATGCAGCAGCTGCCCCAATTTCCTATGCACGTTTCTTGCCATAGACAGATTGGCACCAGACCAGAGCATCCAGCAAGTATACTTCAAATTCAGTGGGGGGGATCGGAGACTTTCGTTCAGTACAGACAGTACGTGCATGCCGTTCGTTGTGACTGTGAGAACTGCTACCTAGCTTGCTTGCTTGCTCGGAATCTATCGATCGAGATGGGGAGGGTGCACCCGTGCTGCTCCGAGGAGAAGAAGGTGAGGAAGGGGCTGTGGTCGCCGGAGGAGGATGAGAGGCTCGCCTCCCACATCGCCCGCTTCGGCGTCAGCTGCTGGAGCTCCATCCCCGAACTCGCAGGTGATGCTGATGCATGCATTCATTCTTGATGCTCTTGCATGCCCTCACTTAGCTTACAATTCATTCACCGGTTCGATCTACTTGTTTGCTCATATGGATTGGATCATCGGAGTGTGAGTGAATTGGTAGCTGTATGCAGGCTTGCAGAGGTGCGGCAAGAGCTGCCGGCTGCGGTGGATGAACTACCTGCGGCCGGACCTCAAGCGGGGCCGCTTCTCCCAGCACGAAGAGGACCTCATCATTGCTCTCCACAAAGCACTTGGCAACAGGTAACTGACCTCTGCTCAACAGTAGGTGCCGCCATTGCCGTACCTTGCCTCAGCTTATACACGGCCATTTCATAATATAACCCGGCCCGGGTGTGAACTGTGAACTAATGTATGTGATGATCATTATCTGTAGCTGGTCCCAAATCGCGGCGAGGCTGCCGGGGAGGTCGGACAACGAGATCAAGAACTTCTGGAACGCGCGGCTGCGCAAGAAGCTCCGGCAGAAGGAGCCGTCGTCGGCGTCGTCCACGGCCGGGAGCAAAGAACCCGCTGCGATACGCAACCGGCCGAACAGCGCCGAAGACGACGACCGAACAAAGCCGGCGCCGTCGGTGTTCACCCCCTACCCCTTCGTCCCGTCTCCTCGGGACCACGTCGCCGCCGCAGCCGCCGCGGGCGCTTCTGGCGCGAGCAGCTGCGACGATTCCTCCGCTGTCGGCAGCTTCGTCGCTGGCCCAGCCATGGCTACATGTCCTGCCGTTCCCGCGGACGCCGCCGCTGACCGGAATGCCGCGGCCGCCGATTCGGGGGTGACGCCGACGCCGTCGCTAACGACGAGCACGAGCGCGTGCACTGACGACGCGCGGGGCAGCTGCGACGATGGCTTCTTGCGGGCGATGGTCGACGATCCCAGCTTCCTGTTTGGAGATTTCTACCTCGATGGCGACGGCGGTCACCATGGGCCGATCATGAGCTTCTGGGAAGGACATGCGTTCAGTTGATTTGTTTGTTTTTCGTTTCGCGGTGATGTTTGGGGCAACACAAATTTACGACCTCATCATTTCATTGTTGTGTAAGCTTATGCATGCGGAATCAAATGTGAAGAGTTCAATCAAATGGAATAAAAGGACGAACCTGTACTTGTTGTTTTTAGTGTTTCCAAGTTTTTTTGAAAATAAAATGCCAATCGATTTCAGCCTCATCAGCCTATTTTCCAGATAATTGCTTGGGTGGTTGGCGCTTGATTCCAATTATATCTAGGTGAACACTTGTCCTTTGTCTCTCACGTTTTTCATTGAAACCAGACGACCAAAATCTTGAATCTGTTCTTGACCTGATATCAGTGGAATCAAGAGGGGCCTGTGAAATGAATAGCGATTGTTGATGGTTTTAGCGGTTGATAAGCCGGCTGATGTTATTTTGTTAAGAGATAGAAATACTGTACCATGGTTGATAAGCCGGGCTGATAAGTTCAAGCGAACAGGGCGAGTCGGTTAGGTTTTTCTTGCTGGGGAACTTGACCGCCTAGATTTAAGTTTCCAACTCAAAAATCATACTGATATATAACTTTACTTTAGCGAATTTTGTGATCTCTTTTTGATATTATGATATGCGACACGATCACCTAAAATTAAAAATGTCCATAGGGGTAGTTCATAAGGGTGATAGTGTTCATGCATGGTGAATGTGTGCTCTATAACGTTTTTTTTTTTTTGAGCAAAATGTGTGCCCTATAACTGGCTAAGTACTATATCACTGTTTTGGGTCTTTTAAGCTAGAGTGGAAGACTGGAAGCCCTGTAACTTCATGTTTTAAGGAAAAGGAAGCCCATAATAATAATAATAATAATCAAACGGGCCTTGGCAAGGGATGAAATTAGTTGAGTGGGTAGAGACAGTCTGGTACTACTTGGGCCGTCTTATCAAACATGGGCTTTCAAGGTCTTGCTTTGATGGCCATGAAAATTGAACGAATTCGACGTCTAACCACGCAGATTAGGCCCAGAGTTTTTCCCATCTAGTTTTGTGAGTTGCACCCATGAAAGACAGGCCTCGTTTGCTTGGCCACATGGGCTAACAGGCCTCATCCGTCAGGCCACCACAGTCCACAAGTCAGGAGAGCACCACAAATGGAGTTAAAGGGCCAAGTATTCAGGGCTTCTTTATAAACAGAAAGAATGTTTTTTAGAAAATAGAGAATACTAAAAATAGCAGAAACACATTCCCTAAAGAGCCAATCTTCGCTGCCGCTCCATTCCCCTTTATAGCGTCTCCAAGTCTTTTTATCCAAGAGTTTTTCTTAAACTTATTCTATAAATCATCGTTTGAAGAGCTATTTGAATAAAAATTATGGCACGGTCTAAAGAGCCAACCTTGCTATCTATCATTAGTTAGAGACAAATCCGGAAAAGAAGATTGCAATATTTGGAGATATAATTAAAAAAGTTGTCGTAGAATATTTTTTCACCAAAATCTCTATTTCTATTAATAAGTATCAATAAAGAAGGATATAAAGAGGCTAATGGAGTTGATCTTACTTCGACACTGCCATTCACTACCGGAAACTCGAATATTTCTGTGGGTGATGAATTTTTCTGTGCGTTTTCTCTATACACATAGAAAAATTCGTAATTAAGGTGTGGGTTTCAAAAATCCCGACAGAAATATTCAAAAACCCACAGAAAAATTGCGTGATTTTTCTGTGCGTGTCAATACACACAGAAAAATTGCCATTATTCTGTCGGTCTTTTCAAAACTCATAGAAAAACTATATACATGCACAGAAAAACTATATACACGCAAAAAAACCCCTAAACCTATCTCCAGACGCGGCCGCCCATCCCTATCCCAAACGCGCCGCCCATACCCGCCCGAGACCACGCCCGCACTCCCGTCGCTCCTAGGTCTCGCAGCGGCCACCCCCTTCTCTCTTCCACCGTCGCGGCAGCCACCCCCTCCTCCATCGGTGAGGCCACCACCCCCTCCTCCACTACAACTCCTCCCCTCCTTCCTCGAAGAAGGCGGCGGTGCTGCCCATGCAGACCCGGATGATGGCGCCCCGCCCCAGATCTGCCTCCTGCCGCACCAAGGAGCTTCGCCGCCCCTAGATATGCCTCCCCCTCCTCTCTTCCACCATCACGGCGCCCACCCCCTCCTCCACTACAACTCCTCCCCTCCCTTCCCTCGGAAGACGGCGGTGGCTGCCCATGCAAGACCGGATGGCGGCGCCTCCGCCCCCAAATCTACCTCCTCCCGCACCAAGGAGCTTCGCCGCCCGCCGCCCCCAGATCTGCCTCCCCCTCCTCTCTTCCACCATTGTGGCGGCCACCCCCTCCTCCACCGGTGAGGCCACCACCCTCTCCTCCACTACAACTCCTCCCCTCCCTTCCCTCGAAAGACGGCGGTGGCTGCCCATGCAAGACCGGATGGCGGCGCCTCCCTCACCTCTGCACTGGCCGTGGTGGCGCCTCCCTCTCCTACCAGATCCAACGGTGCCCTCTCCTCCACCCACATCCGGGGGTGGCGCCGCCTCCTCCTCCAACCGGGTGTCGACTCCTCCTCCTAGATCTACGCCACCCCTAGTCTTCGCGGGCCTTCGACATTTCGCCAAATGACGAGCACCCACCAGGTATGCGCCCACCCCTTTGCTCTCCCTTGAAACCGAGCACCCAAACCCTAGCTAACGTAATCTATTTGGGTTTTTGTGCTCAGTTTAGGATTCGATTTGGGGGGTGGATCGATAGATCAATGTGTGTGAGCTGCGGTTGCTCAAACCTGGTTCATGTTTAATTAACCCGTCACATGTGTGCTATTTTTAGAATTAAAAGCACGCTCCTGTTGTTACAATCTCCAATATTTTTTAGAGCTCATACATGGTGTAGATGTTTGAAAAATACTTGAATTTCTAAACTGATACATTTTTGGTTATGAAGTACAACAATTATTGTCTAGTAACAGTTATTTCTCAATCTATCTTGGGTTAGCGTTTCACATTACTTAATTCTCTGTTGTACTGAAATGCTATGTATGTGTAGTCATTTCCATTGTCACAAGTATAAACCTGTGAATATAAAAGACCGTTACTAAACTGTACCTGCATCTATTTTGGTCTACAGATTTTTTTAGACATCTTTCTCATATAAGAAAACTTGCCCATTCTACCATGTTAGCTTTATGTTATTGCATTCATGTGACAAACCACTCAAGATTACTCAACATCAATAATATAGATGAACCTGGGTACTGGATATTATTGTGCCAATTGGCTACCTGTCTTGCATATCGCATTCTTTCATGTAAAACATCAGTCACAAAACTTCTAGAAGAATGTTCTTCTCCTTTATTGTAAGTTCAAACCGTTGTCTTGGTGGAGGTGGACCCCTCTCATCCGACCTCCTTGGGGGTCTCCCAGGATTGTTTCTTTGGCTGCTCTAGTTACCAGATTTGGCACCCCATCCATCTGCTTTCCAGTCCTTGTTACCAGAATCAGTTGTCTCTTTCCATTGAGCAGTACCTTGTGAGTTCTCAGCAGGCACAACATTCCAGCCATCCCAAGAATCTGATTGCTTAGCATCTAAATTGCCCACTAGATCAGGGGAGCCATGTCGTCTCTTAGCAGGGAGCTGGTTTTCCTCATCCTGCAGTTCCTCGATGAGGAGAAGTTCAAGGAGACGATGCACAAGTGAGTACTCGTCATGATCATGAATGGGGATTTTGGAGCCTTGCTTTGCTGGGTGAGCTAGGATTTTTTATGCTTTTTGTGGTTGCCCGTGCAGGCTGGAGCAGGAGTCGGGCTTCTACTTCAACATGAAGCACTTCGAGGACCTCGTGCAAGGCGGCGAGTGGGACGAGGTGGAGAGGTACCTCAGCGGCTTCACCAAGCTGGAGGACAATCGCTACTCCATGAAGATCTTCTTTGAGATCCGCAAGCAGAAGTACCTCGAGGCCCTTGATAGGTGACCGACTCATCACTACGCTACTCTTGGTCCTTTGTTGTTGTCAAGGTTGTTTTTTTGCTGAATTTGCTGTCGGTGTCACAGGCATGATAGGGCCAAGGCTGTGGAGATTCTCGTGAAGGATCTGAAGGTGTTCGCCTCCTTCAATGAGGAGCTGTTCAAGGAGATAACACAGCTGCTGACCTTGGAGAATTTTAGGTATGGTAACTTTCCTTTCAGAAGCAAAATGTTTAGTGCATTGGGCCAGTGCATCCAGATGTTTTGTGTATTGATGGATAAGGTGACAGTTAAATGTAGTCGATGCTTCCTTTGTTCATTTGACTTGTTGGAATTTTATTGCTCCTGGTTGTCCAGTGCTACAGAATTTTATAGCGGCTCTAGCTTTAGATGCTTATGTTATAGCAGATACCATCCTTTTTTCCTTATTGTAAGGTCGTATCCATTCATGCAACAATTGGGATTTCTCTACTTGGTATGCCTACAAGTCTAACAGTGCTTCCAGAAGCACATTTCGTGCATGTAAAAGGTGAGGCTAACTAGACTTTATTTCTTTGTTTCTAATGCCTTTCAGTCTGAACTGGCAACATCAGCTCTACAAGAACCCTAGACCAAACCCTGACATCAGGACACTCTTTACTGATCACTCTTGTGCTGCTCCTACCAATGGAGCAAGAGCACCTCCACCTACCAATGGTCCGCTTGTTGGATCCATCCCTAAGTCAGCTAGATTTCCACCAATGGGTGCTCATGCTGTAAGTATTATCACAAGCAGGCCATTTAACTTATCCTGACTATTGATTGCTTATACTGGTTCAATGTTGCAGCCACACCAATGGGGATCTTCATGCTGCAAACGTTGACAACAATCAAGGTTCCGACAACAATGGCAATCATGCATCGATAATGTGATGGTTGTGTTTAGTTGCAAAACATGGATGTGATGGTGGTTTCTTCTTTTGTAGAGTTGTGCTTTTGCACATTAACTAGTAGTGGCTCTAATCTGTTAGCTTTAGTTTTAGCTATAATATGACTCAATGATGCATGATGTTACTTTATTCATCTTGACTGAGACTTGAACTGTTGAGATGAGATGGTAATGCTTTTGAATGTATTGATGCCGGACCATTTGGACATCATCTATATATAGCCCGGATGCCATTAATGAATGTACTGAACATTTGGATCTTTATATGTATGCTATCTATTATGTTGTGATGAAATTACAGTATGGACAGTCCATATTTAATATGTCATTGCTACTGTTCTGTTTGTATATAATTATTGTATCCAATTTGCTGCATGGTTAAGGGTTTTTTCTGTCGGTGGTCTGTTATTTTTCTATGCGTTAACCGAGACCGACACAACATTTAAATTTAATCTGGGCTAACGTAATTTTTCTGTGCGTGTAACACCCACAGAAAAATCATTTTTCTGTCGGTCTTTTCTTTTTTTTCTGTGAGGATCAACGCACACAACATTTAAATTTAATCAGGGCTAACGCAATTTTTCTGTGCGTGTAACACCCACAGAAAAATTGTTTCTGGCGGCGAACACACAGAACAATTGAATTTTTCTGTCATTATATTTATGTGGGTATTTTTCTGAGGGTACACCGTCAGAAAAATATTTTTCTGTCGGTATTCGCATTTTTCTGTGTATTTTCGCACACACAAAAAAATGCGAGATTCCAGTAGTGATTGGTTACAACGCACGAGTTTGTAGGCCTCGCTTGCAGATGCCCTTGAGTACTATTGCCTTGTCATTTTCGTCTACACTGCCATTGACTACAACACACAAGTTCATGCCCTCGCTCGAAGATGCCCTAGAGTACTATCGCCTTGATGTTTTCGTCTACACAGTCTTCCTCCCTTGTTCGTCATCGATTTCATTAATTGGGATTCATCCACTAAGATATTCCTATTATCGTCTTTAACCTCACATGCAATCAATAGACCAACTAGATCATAGCCTACTTTGCCTCGCCGCATGATGACATTCTGATCAACTAATTACCTCCACCGATCCCATGAAGTCCAGCCCTCAGTATTGTGTGCCTCTTTGCCGAGTAACATGGCTGCCGATGCATCGCCTTGCTATGTCGCACCATCAGCACCCCTAGTCTTCTCCGATGTTACATTTTTCACTTCTGCCAACTATGTCATCGATTATGTCACTACACGCATCTCATGCATGTTATCCACCATGTCCTTTGAGCTAGAATAATTATCGCCGGGACATCCAAATTATCGTCATTGCGCCAGATCATCTGGATCTACCTCATCCAACACAACCATGTCATCAATAGCGTCATCATCTCTTGTGAAAGCCCTAGTTTAGTTTTGGATAATTGATGAAACCTATGGACTAATCCCTGAGGTAAGTGTGTAGACAAGAGAGGATGGTCCAAAGCCAAGTGATGGAGCTAGATGATGGTCATGGTGATGGTGGTGACCAAAAGAGATGATCAAGTGCTCCAACTTGGAAAAGAAGAAAGAGAAAAACAAAAACCAAGTGTTGATCAAGGCAAAGGTATCAAATAGGTTTTTGTTTTGGCACTCAAGACACCATAGAGGGTGTGAGTGTGTTTAGGATCGATAGCTATACTATAAAGAGGGAAAATCTTTGGCTAAGCGGTTATCGAGTGCCACTAGGTGAAGTGATTCATGTATATGCATTTAGGGACCTACTGCGCTAATAATTAACCCTTGAAAAATGCTTTGAAATATGCTAACACACGTGCACAACTGGTGAGACACTTTGGTGTTGGCACATGAAAGCAAGGGTGAAGTGAAAAAGAAGAGAAGGGGTCACTCACTGGTGACCGGACGCTGGTCTCGGCTTGACCGAACGCGTCCGGTGTTTAACCCTAGGTGGTGCAGCACTTGGCCGAGAGGGCCGAGTTGGGACCGGACGCAGGACCAGACTCGGGCGCGGTGTCCGGTCATGCACAACAGAGGAGGCGCTGCTCGGGCAGTAGATCGGACGCAGGAGGCGATGAGCGACCGGACGCACGGTGAACACTGTTCACACATCTGGTCACGGAGGTGTGGCGCGTGTTGTGCAGAGAAGAAGAGACCGGACACCGGGCGCATTAGGTCATCGTTGTCCGGACGAGTCCGGTCAGAGAAATTCCTCTCTAGATGCTTACTGGACACGACCGAACGCCATGTGTTGGTGAGTCCGATCATACTAACGTCGAGTCCGGTCACAACTTAACGTTTCGCACGACTAAGAGATGACCGTTGAGTTCGAACGCGCGAGATTCAAAGGGGCGACATGTGGCGTCCATCGGTCGATCGGACGCCAGCGACCGGACGCTAGAGGCGGGTCCGGTCGGCGCGTCCAGTCACACCTGCGATAGTCTATTTGATATTATACAGTAATTTGTGCAATGTTTGACAATGGACTAACTACCTAGCATCTGAATGATTTTATAACCCACATTTTTGAGCCAATAGGAGAGTGACATGCCAGAAAATTATAGGAAAAAGAAAAGGTGAATGATACTATAAGATTTTTGAACCGAAAAACACAAGAAACAAAACGTAGAGAAAGCTGAATGGAAACAAGCAAGGTGGTCACTCCAGAAGCGGTCACTCATCGAGGAATGTCCATCGTGGCCGCCATTGTTTGTCACCAAGCTGGCGCACATGGACCCGTCGAGGAATGTCCATCGTGGCCGCCTTCTTCCCCATGAGCTGCAGAGCGGCACTCATGGACCTGTCGAGGAATTGCAGCGTGCAGCAGGTGGAATAGGGGCATGAAGGCCTCCACGGTGGGCGGTGGTAGCGAGGTACCCAGCGCCTGGCGAACGACGGCCGCGGTGCTGAGGACCATACAGAAGGTGCTGGGCAACGACCATACAGAAGGGCGCGGGCCGCGAGGTTATTGGGCTAGATAGTCTACATACGTGGGCCAAAACTACCAAAAAAAACAATCGACAAAATCCACGGACAAAATCCATACTGGGCCAACAAAGGAAACCAAAGGCCCATCAACAAAATACACTTCACCATTTCACACAAAAGATGACAAGTCTAGAAATAATATCCTCCATAACAAAAAAGAATGAAAACATAACGCATAATCACATCTTGTTGATATATAATTAGAAATGAGTACATTACACTTGCAGCCCCTAAACTAATACGTCTAGTTTACGCCATTCCCAAATCCCATTCAGATCCCAAAACTATGAAATCACGTATATAAATCCTAAAATATTTAAGTACACCAATCTAGATCCAAAAGAAGCGTCATGGTCCATAGCTAACCTAGCGCTTAGCGTGAAACTGACATATGTGTTCGCAACTCATAATAATTACATGGACTATCCCTAAACTACCACATGACACCAAAGTCTCTAAGCTATATATGAAATTGCATATATGTGTTCGACGGTGGAAGGACACACTTGTCGTTCTCTGCTCCACCGACCATCGCTCCGGACCCATCTGTTGGTTCCATGCTAGACCGTCACGTCAACTAATGGTGTGATGTGGATGCTTTGGACCAGGGTTGGGCCATTTAAATAGTTTATGGTCCTAGTTATGCAATTTCATAGTTTGAGGGACATGGACGTGATAGTTTAGGACCAATAGCGTAATTTGCACTTTCAAATTTCTATTGGTTCAAGTGGTACGGTCTGGAAATGAGCATGCAGATTATGGAAATTCAGAGGTTTGTGAACAAACCTATCTACATCCATATTCCCTCTAAGAAACTAAGCGTGTGTTTGGAGACGATGTGGAGTGGGACTATTTCATCCTTGTTTTAGGGGATAGGATCTTCCTAGCCATTGTTTGTTTGAAGAGAATGAAACCATCCTTGCTTTCTATTTGGTTGGGGTGATTGAGTCAAATGGGATGGATGGTGATTCTAACAGGTTATGTACAATTGTTATGGGCCCCACCTATCATAGATGGGCTCACAGACTAGCCTCACGCTAGGTTTCTTCTTCCCCTCTTTCTTCTCCACTAAGACACCCCCAACCACACGAGCTCCGGGCTCCGCCTACCGCCCGCCCAGAGCTCTGTCAGCTCTGGGTTCGGCGTCGCCCGCTCATCACTGAACATCCGGGCTCCAGCATCACCCTCCCATGCCGCCAAGGATTCATCCGCTGCTCTAGCTCCAGGCTCCGCCAGCTACTCGTCCTCGCTCTATCAGCATTGTCCGCCCTCACTACTAGTTGCTCATGCCACCAAGGACTCGACCACCACTTCAATCATCGATGTCGCCCTCGGTTCGTGCTCCGGCGCTGCCCAACACTGGATCCGGCAGCTCAAGCTAAATCACTCCACCTCTACCCTCAGGCACTATCTCCCCTGTGTCACCCGCGTTGAAGCTCCACCCATGTCCCCACTGAAGAGGGACGAGATGGCGTCAACCGGGGATGAGTTTGGCCGCTTGTTTTGGAGGGACGAACTTGCCTCAAATCTTTGGTGAATATCCCTCCAAGGGGATGGTTCCATCCCTTGTGCCTTGGATCCAAACATCGTAGTTTTGGGGACATCTCCATCCCATCCCGATGAGCCCTCCAACCAAACACAGGATAAGTTATCAGATACTGAGACTGATGAGTCATCAGAGATACATCTTTATCAATGGACACAATCTATTAATGAATGAATGTATAAGGCACGTCGTCTATCCTATTTCTTTGCCTGCTAGATTATATCTAGCTGTAGGTGTGGGAAACAAAGTTGAATAAGATGGTTCATAGCAGGTTATAGGATTATATAATTAAGTTGTCTTATAAAATATAAAGTGTTTGTTCACCACTTGACCTTGTATAAACTAGTAGCTTATGTAGAAAGTTTGCATAAGCTGGATTATATATATAAGCTCGGGTGTAAACAAC